AACATTTCTATTTAAAGAATTAGTGACTTTCATCAACATTTAATTGTTAATCTTTTCAGAAGTTTTAATGTATAAAAAGCGTCTTTGGACTTTTCGACAGATAGTCCCACGAATAGGAAAATAGATCGTAAGAATCTTTTCATTATAAATTTGTAAACCCTGTAATAATTATTTATCATTATTCATTTCGTTATTTTTTTTAGGAAATAAAGAGTTTTCTGCATTATCGATTTTGATTCGTGGATTATACCTTGTCTATCTGTTCATCGTCAGAATCTTGTTCCTTTGCGACAACAATACTAAATGTTCATTTTTCAAACTCGACGTGTACCTTCAGAGGTGAAAATGTTTTAGATATTTTTGCACGAAAATAAATCACAGAAGTACAAAAGTTATGTGTAAGATGGATTTAAATTATATTAAAATTAAAGAAAATAGAAAATTAGAAGATGAGGGCATTTTTATTCTTATGCATACAACACTGGCGCCATGTCAGGTCCCACACACAATCGAGGCACAATAGATAAAGTTAATTGAGACAGCAAACCAAAAGAATTAATAATCATTTTATGTTAGACGAAGGAATGATAGGATTGGCATTCACGAATGGATCTCCATATGTAGCTCCGACTAGAAGTGCTACACAGCTCCTGTCAACCCTACCTATAGCTCTAGCTGTTCCAGCAAATAATGGTAAGTATATAGTTTCATATGTAGCTCCGACTAGAAGTGCTAGCTGTCCCAGTAAATAATGGTAAGAGAGTGTCATATATCTGTAGCGGATCCAACTATATAGAAGTGCTACACAGCTCATGTCCACCCTACCCATAGCTCTACCAGTTCCAGCAAATAAGGGTAAGAGAGTGTCATATATATATGTAGCTCTAACTATATAGACGTGCTACACAGCTCATGTCCACCCTACCTATAGCTCTAGCTTTTCCAGGAAATATTGGTAAATATTATAGTGTCGTATGTAGCTTTAACTAGAAGTACTACACAGCTATTGTAAGCCATGTTCCAGGAAATAATATTAAGTAAATACTTAGTGTCGTACATATGTAGCTTTAACTAGAAGTGCTACACAGCTAATGCCAACCCTACCTAAAGCTTTTAAATAGCTAGTAAAAAATTAGAGTTTTTAAACGAGCGTTTATGGTGGCTTTATGAATATTTATAATTATTGAACATAAACAAAAAATGATGTGATAAACTGATGTGAATATTTACATGGGTCATATCAAATTCACAACGGTACTCTTTAGACAATTAAATGATCAATAATGTGGAAGATATTGTTGTTTTCTAACTTGACAACTGATTATTTCGCACAAAAATCCTCTAATTTTTCTTCAATAGAAATCAGTCTCTTTTATAGAGAAACCGCACTAGAAAATAATCAACATTTAAAGTTGAAAACGTGGATTGCTGATTTAAATTAGATTTTAAAGTTACTGTTTGTAAATTGGGCATACAACTCTTGAAATTGAGGGTAACTTAAAATTACGTAACAGGCCCTTTAATTAGTATTGTTTGTAGGAGATCATATGTTGTTGGATATGGCAACATCTAGTGCTGCTGTTGGAAAAATGGAATTAGCAAAAGCTCTGGGTAAACCAATACCACAGGGCTGGGCGCTTAACAAGTAAACATAAAGAAGATATAAATAATACATGATATACATATTTATATACAGTGAAACCCTTAATAACGAATACATCGGAAGAATTTTTCAAATGTCGTCTTGACAATTTTTCAATGATTTTCATTCTATATTACGTAAATTTTAGTATTTGCGAAAATAAATAAATAGCCATGAATATGTAGGAACAGTTTTAAAGAGTTCCATTTAATCATTTAATTAAAAAACTAAATATCTGCAACATTCAATTTTTCAGAAAGTGAAGAATACGACATTTGATGAATTCTTTCGATGTATTCGTTATTAAGGGTTTCACTGTATATAGAATAGGATTTTTGAGTTTTCAGCATTTCTTAACCCTATATTTTTTAAAATAAATAAATAGAGTTTATTATGAAAAAATCCGAGGATGAGCGTTTATATAAAATAAGATTATACATTTTAAATTTTTCATATTGGTAAAAGCATATTCAATATTCATGTTTATCTATCTATCTATAACTATTCAGTAATCTTTGGATATAAGGTATACCTGATCTGTTTAACCTCTCCGTTCTGGCTATATTCTACTGAAGTTTCTTATGGCCAACATACTATGGGGGGGGGGGCAATTGAATCTCTACCCTTTCTATTTCCCTATTGTAATAATTTTAATACTAATACATAGCATTTCATGCATTTACTAATTCCTATATCTAAGCAACCCATCGTTGTAGATCAAAGAAAAATAAAACAATGAGTTCTGTCCGAATAAATAATCTAAGTTTCAAATATTAAATTCAGTTTCACATAATCAGGAATTGCAAAAATATAGGAATTATAAATTTTGAGCTGTGGAAAGAACTAAACTCATTCACAGCAAATTTTGAGTTTTGCTCAAAAACGTCAGCGGGGGACGAGGGAGGGTGTCTAGTTGGAATAGGGTTAAGTAAAATGAAAAACAACGACGACTTTCGTGCTTTTGTTCACTAATAAAAAAATCGTCTTAGTCTAACATTAAAATAATTTATATTTCAATCTCAATATTAAGTCAATTGTATTAATTGTAAATATTATGAAATTCAAGGGAGCAAATCCTTGTTCCTCATTGAAAATAAATCTCAGAGCCTACATTGAAAACCAGAAAATGGGAGAATAGGAAGACGACATTCAAACAATACTGAAGTGTATTTGATGTTGTTACAAGGCAAATAGCTTTACCAGTAAATTATTAAATCATTTATTAAGTGAAATGGGTCTGTTTACATTGCACTATTGCTATGCCTCATGTTTATTGGAATATTTAATTCGCAACTTGAGTCTAAAAGATGACTTCCTATTCCAGAGCTTTCTGGTTTTTACTGTAGAATAAGAATAAAAATTGTCAAATACACAACTTTGATCAATTTAGGTCTGGTAAACCTACGACGGATCCAGTAGAAGCCCTGCCTAGTGGGGGTGGGACAGGTCTGCCTTTGGGAGGGGAAGAGGAAACTAGTGGATATAAGGCAAGAGATATTATAATACTATTACTATAGGGCGGCAGAAAACAGAAAACAGAAAACTCCATGGTAACAAAACTGTTAGTGAAAAGTTCTTCATCAAAACTCTTTATTAGCTAGATACGAAACTTAAACACATGCATTATTTCCATCTATAGTATCCTTAACATTTTCATAATATTTTTATTTATTTTTTACGATTAAATTAGTCAATCCCAAGTCATTATAAGAAGTCTTCTTTATTATGGACAAAAGGAATTTTTATATATACGGTGCAAGAGTAAGGACGATCTGATTCTTCATATAATTGAATCAATTTTAGCTCATTTATTCAATCCTATCAAGGAGTATGGATCGTATTCATATTTATTGAAAACTAGGGAAAAGGTAAGAATGAATGTCGTCTTTTGTGTCAGTCCTTCTACGAGTAAAGTTTCTTTGGAAATGAACCCCGAGCATTATCAGTATTTATATTTAAAACTTATAATTTTGATGGTATAACAGGGGCAAACTAAAGGTATTTTAAGGCCCAAATGCGAAAAAGAACATATATTCTATATCGATTTCTTCAAGATATATTGGTAAATGTCGTCTTTTTTAAAGCATAGATTAGTTGATAGTTTTGGAAAAAAATTATTGAAACTTCCAAAATTCTAGTCATTTCAAAATGTGCGGACAAACAAATATTTTCGTATTCTTTCTTTTCTGATTATGACAGAAATTGTCTTGGCTACATAAATAATAATAAATTAATTTTTAAATGTCAAAATTATTGTGTGAGATTCCACTGTTTTCTGGTTTTTACTGTATTTTCAAACTTTTTTTTCTTTTTAGGGATATGGCCTCGGATTGATGGTTGAGATTTTTTGCGGAATTTTGAGTGGATCAGACTGGGGCCCTCATATTCGGTAAACTAAAGGGACTGTAAGCGAAACTTCAAGTGATCATCAATGCAAAGATGGCGGCAATGCACGATTTGCAACGTTGCTCATTGAAGCTTTATTTGATGAAGTATTATTTTTAACCCTATCTCTGCTGGGGTACTTGAAAACCAGGATATGCTCCCCTCTAAATCCCATGTTTTATGTCCAAATATGACAAATGATACATCATTGGAAAGCTCTTGTGCTCTACTTTTAGAATCTGCAAAAAATTTGCAAATTTGCAAAAATTGAATTTTTTATCGCAAAATCCAGTTTTATATAGTAAAAATGTTTGCAAAAAAAATGTGTCCAAAAAATGAAAAATTATACATTTTTGAAAAGCCCTTGACCATGCCATTTGAACTATGCAAAAAATTTAGCAAAATTTTAAATAACCTGATTTTTAATCAAGAAAAACTAAAAATGTGCAAATTTCCTTTGACAAGTTGTTTGCAAAAAATTTGCAATTTTTTTCGCAAAACTTGTGCAATTCGTTTTCTTATATCAAAAGCTTTCCAAAAAGCTAAATTTTATCAAAATCTGACAGGTGGAAGTGGGTCAAACCAAAGATTTAGTTTGTTACAGGAAAAAGCAGTCATTCAGGAAATGTGCTTGAGGACTCAGGCAGTTAGTATTAAAGCCCGGTTTTAGGCCTAAAGGGAGGGCTTTGGATATGTAGGAAAAGTCAGAAAATTTCAACAGCCTCAGAACAAAACTTTTTGAGTTATGTAAAAAAACTCCCGGGGGGGGGCAAAATTCCCCCCCCCCCCCAGCAGGAATAGGGGTAAACTTCATTTTTTTAGTTATTTAAACTATTTTTTTTGTACAGGGTGTCCCAATAAACATGGGAAATCAGTGACGAATTCGAAATCATCTTTGATTTAGTATAGTGATACCTACCGAGACAGCTGTAATCTTTAAGAGTTTCGTCTGCTAGGTTCACATTTTGTTTGTTTATGTTTTGACTGCATAAGGGTGTACTCAGTAAAAATTGCAGTATACAAACAGAGTAAACTTGTCCGTGTTCACTGTTCATCTTGCAAAGACATTATAGACACATAATTGCAGTCTTTTAGCCTTTTCATAAAATAAACTCTAGCAGACATAATAATATTATGGCTTTTGAAATTAGGTATTACAATTACACCCTGTATTTGCGGTTTCTCTGTAAAAGTGACTAGTGATTATCTTGCTTTTCATACTCATTGGAGAACTCATCAGAATTAAACATTTTTCTAATCAGACGCTTAGCTTCCACTTTTTTGGCCGGATTAAGGCTTAAAGGGAACCGATGTATGTAAATTGGACATTGCTATCTTTGAATGGAGACTCATTTGAAATTACTCTTACAGTTCCTTTAATAAGAAAATCTATCTATAATAAAATAATTTTTGTCTCTCCAAAATTTGTTGTTGATTTAAAACAAAAAAGAGAAACACGGTGTTTTTCGTTTCAAATCTAATAATCGCTTCAAAATGTTCACTACTTTTTTTCTATGTAATACGGCAGCAAAGTTTTAATTTTGGTTTGAACCCCAATCGATTTAAAAAAACAAACTTTCCGAACAAAAAATTACAGTGTTTAATATTGTTTTAATAAATGGAAGGAAGTGCACCATAAATATATACTTCATCATGCGATTTAAAGATAAATCAAAATTGAAAAATACAAACTTAATTCTCTGACTTTTTTGTTATAATGGTTTCAGTACTTTGCTTCGTTTTACTTTTTTTTGGATACATGAAACAAATTATGTTTTGTTTTTTAATGGCAAATAACTGACATTTAGTTAAGCTACGGAAAACACAGTGTATTCCATTACATGGATTATTCTAAAGGTAAACAGAAAAGAACCAAAATCAAATCATATTTTGTTCAATTTGTTTGTTTTTGTAGAAAATGGAAGATTCAGAACCAAATAGCAAACTTGGGACAATGTTTTATAGCTTTAGATCCTTCAGTATTTACACCAGGCTTTCAGGATAGATCTCAGGTATATAATTAGTTTAGTGTCGAAATAAGTCAAAATACTTACAGTACACTATTTACGTCTAGATTGCTACGGTTTAAAATGTTTATTTAATACATTGACCAATGTTTTCTTAAATTTTTTGGTCCAATCAAAAAATCTTTAAATTCAATATAAATTACAATTCATTTCAAAAGGGTAAAAAATGTAAATATTTATATAACGAAGACAACAATATTGGGCCGGGTTTCAACAATGTTTCAAATATGATTATTTTGCTTCAAAAATAAATAAAGATACTGGAACTTTTAAAAAAATTTTATGAAAAAATGAATTTATGTTTTAGTCCCTGCTAGATACATGCAGAGGACTTGTACCTTTGGATCCAAACCTAGCAGTAATCATTCCTGGAGATAGGTCAGTA